AAGACTGTAGTACAGAAAGAGAATCTGAAAAATAGATAAAAGCTCTCCTTACTTTGTTTGTTTGAATATATTCAAGGGTGAGGTAAACAGCTCGCGCTTTCGTTGAGAATATTGAGGCGTTTTCTGAGTAGTAAGCATCCATCGGCTTCATCTTGTGTAACCATATCTGCGGCAACTAATCATTGTCTTTTGGACCATCAGTATATAAATGTAGATTTTTTTTGTATATTTTGACTGCAATTTCGAGAAGGATGAACATGATGTGTAACTGTCAGTGTCTTTTGTTGGCTTTGAAACAATGTTTTATATCCTGGATCAAACACGAGTGAAAAGGTAGGATTTGAAGGATTTGACTTCAGCTGAATGGTGTTTTGCAAAGCCAATTTATTTTGACGGCTATATAGTGATGGTTCGTTAGCCTCTACATAGATGCTTGCTGTAGGTGTAGTCTTAAAAGCTCCAAGAACGAGCCTCAGACTCTGGTGATGAACAGTGTCTTATACTTTGAGATTTGAAGGTCTGGCAGATCCATACGCAATGAAGCCGTAGTCTAATTTTGATCTTATAGGAGATCTATGAAACCTAAGAAAAACATTTCTATCAGCTCCCAATCCAGGCACTACCTTTAGAATGATAAGTGTTTAAGGCGTTTGGCTTTAAGATATCTGATATGTAGAATGAAGGATAATTTTCTGCCGAACATTACACCCAACAACTGGAATGGGTACACCTTTAAGTGAGAGATGTGGATCATCCGCAATTGACAAAAATGCGTACAAACTGTTTTTGATTGTGAAAAGTTAAATCCAATTTCACTTCCCCTAATTTTATGTCGATTCAAACATTGTTGTAGTTGTCTTCCAATGGTATTGATAATATATTTTATATCCACAAAGATTATTTTCTTGATCTAGTCGTAGTTCGTTAAAAATTGTTAATAACTGTACCCCGATAGGTTTAGGCAGAAATCAATCAAATGAATAGGCAATTACTCTTAGATAATTTTGATACCGACTTTTTTTGTATTTAATATGTGGAAAAATAAAAGTTTTAGTTTTTTAACACAGCGAAGTTATACAGTTTCAAAATACCCACTGTGTACGCGACTTGACTTAATGTACTTACGCGCACGTGTATATGCCTATAAGAGAAGCTAGGTTTGTAGGCATGACTTTTATGCGAGCTAGATGTTATGTATTAAGAAAGGCACATATGTACATGAAGGCCTCAAACACTCATAATGCCCGACAAACCGTACGATTACTCTTTTGGTTTTTAATTTGGCCAAGGGTTTGGCATCTAGAAGTGCCTGAACTGGAACGTGGACAAAGCATCAAATGTTTGTTTCGATCGTGCTGTAAAGTACATTTAGGAATTTGAGTCGAATCCGTCTAGAAGATGTTTCTTGTTCCTCAAATCAGATTTCGTGTTTATTTTTTAAAACGTTTTTTCTAACTGATCAATTTTAGCCTTTAAAGCGTTGATTGTGGATTCTTGCAAGTGTGACGTTTTGAACGAGATCGCTTACTTCATGTGTAGATTCTAACACTTGATCAAGACACTGCCGCTGACTAATGAAGACATGTGTCTTTCGATTACTGAATGTACTTCCTCTATAAAAGCTTTTGTAGAATAGAGGTCACCATATTGGCTACCGGCTCAAGCAACATTTGAATAAGGTGATTGGTGAATAAAGAATCAGTTATTGTGAATGACACTAAACTGGTGCTGAGAAAAGATTCCTTAGGGTCTGTTTAATTTGTGTTCTCAAGTAATATTTCTCGAAATATGCGTTTTTTTTTTTTTGTTTTTTTTTTGTTTTTTTTTTTTTTTTTTTTTTTTTTTTTTTTTTTTTCGTTTTCCGTATCAAATAAAGGCGATCAAAACAAGAACGCCTGTAATCATGTTATTAAACCTGCATGTTCAGGGGTCTTTCAGGTAAAAACAATGATGATAGTATATTTATTGCAAAAATCAGTTCAGAATTAAATAAGTCCAAGGAAGCGATTTGGCTAAATGTTCACTTAAATCTATGATCAACAAGACAGAAATCACAAATGTTTTCTGGTGTGGGGTTCATGTAAATAAAATATAAATGCATTGACGTTGATTACATACAATGGCTGCTGACCAGGTTAGACCTATGGGGTAGGCCTCTCACTATTTTATGTGTGCACAAGGTAATATGTGATGTTTTGTTGAAAATATATGGACTGTCCAAACATTCATTCACTGATGAGTCTATTCAGTGCAACTTTTGTGCCTTGAGGGGATTAAACAGCCTGATTCAACTCGATTGAACTTTTATCAGTGTTATCCTGGGAAGGGCATAGTGTCATGCCTAGGAGGAAGAACAAGCCTGCTAAAAGGAAAAATAGGGAGAGTAACACTAGCAGTACTGGTGGAAAACAGGAATCCAAAAGGCCAAAACCTGATGTAAGTGATTCTGAACCCAACTTAACTGATTCAGATCCTGAACATGAATTTACTGACTGTACAGATATTGACACCAGCATTTTCAATATGGCCTCCAGTGACTCTTCTCAATCTAAGCTGGTTGAAGCCATCATATCTGCTTTAAAGAACCCCCAAGTGTTAGACTTAATTGCTGATGCTGTTAATGAAAAACTAAATGACAAAATACATACTCTACAAAATGAATAAGTAAGTAGCAAACAGCGAACTTGAAGATAGACTAGACGACCTTGAAATGTATGGACGCAGAAATGGTGTTCGGTTGTATGGTATATCCGAGACTGTACATGAAAATACTGATAAAATTGTTCTAGATGTTGTGAGGGAAACTGGTGCTAAAATACCAGAACATTTGATGCATTTACTCTCTGGTGCGATTCTTTTAAAAACATCTTGCCTTCAGAAACTACTTCAGTGACTTTTAATGTCATCGATATTAAATCTTGGATCTAGTTCAGATTTTGTGCCACAAATATGTGATTCTGCTCTTAAATCATGTTTGTATGTCATTGTACATATGGTGTATACTATGCATTAGGGTGATATTGTAAATAACACAAGTACACATGTTCTGTTTTTAACTGAATGTCCAGTCACAATTATACTATTATGTGTATTTCACAACTATGTTACAGCCGGGCTGTGATTTTAACCTTATAACAGACTATATCAATATTGTTCTGATACCGGCCAATCAAAACATGACAGTTACACAATATATTGTGGTAATTGAGATATCATCCAATCTCTTACATTTTCATCTACTTCCATGAATTTCAGAATTTCATATTAACTGGCTTAACCTGCTTTACCGTACAGTTTGGTTCAATAGTGGTTTTGATGGATTCACAGAAAACAAAGACAAAATACTGAAATTTCAGTATCATCATTTTAATATTACTTGGCTTCTACTGTACAAAAAATTGTAAAAACATGCTATTTACATATAAATATACAAGTATATAATTTTTTCTATGTTCATTATGTAATAATATCAGATCAAATAAATAAGATTTTATGAGTAAACAATGGTATCACAGACATTTTATAAGCACATATATGATGGCCTTTATCATTGACATGAGAATGGGTAAGATTTAACAGCTAAGATCACATGCTATATCTATGTATAATGAAAACTAGTTTATGTCATTCATGAATAGCTAGGTCATGCTATTTTCAAACACATTTTTTCCCTTTATAAAATCTATGTAACATAAAATAATTATGAATGCATTATACATATTTTTTTATTCATGACAAAACTTTGCTGTCATAATGTAAGTGACTTACTCTTACGTATGGTAGTGTTACTATTACAAATGTCATCTACATCAAAACAAATTTTATCTTATTTGTTGGACGAAAAGACATTCTACAAAATTGTAGAAATAATGATAATTTAAATCTCATCGACTAACTGACCTTAAACATTTTCCTTTGTTTGTAATGATCAAAATGATTTGGTATATTTTTTTCATATTTCTTTCCATAGTGTAGTGTTAGTTTACAAACACACAACCAAGTGATCGCACAATCACACTCTTTCACTGTCTCCCCTATGAAGAAAATGATTTTTTGAATTTCTTTTAAAAGAAAAATATTAAAGAAAATGAATTCTCAAATATATCTCTTGTAACAATAACCCTGCTCTACTTTAAAATACTGAAAATGTAGTTTTATATTGGATTAGGGAATGGGTAGATAATGAAATTTATCGGGTCCAAGGGAGGTAACTGCTATAAGTGAATATAAAATTGTAAAGGCAGATTTTTGGGATGTTTACAGATATTAAATAATACCATTAAGAGAAGCATTTTTATATTGTATTTTTATAAAAGGTTTGTTATGTAAACCTCAAACTAAAACATCAAATAACTGACTCCTAACACCATTGTGACATTTCAAACCTCAGAACAATCCCTGTTATAGAATTGGCAAAATGTAAATTCTGTTGTCAGGCACAATGCAGTTAACTATAACACAAATCTGATAAAGCTGGACGGACTTTTGGCAATTAGAGCATATAAGACACATTAAAAATGTACAGGGTAGTAGAAAAACTGTCATCTTTGCCAAGATATGTAATATTTTCATAACATACCACAAAATATCAAATGATTTTCAATCAATCCAGTTGATGTAGATGAGGTATATGAACAAGATCTGATCTTCAAAACAAAAGCTTAATAATAATTTTTTTATAGTAATGGCCATTTTGTAAAATTAGTTGGGATTGTACACACAACTCAAAGCTCCAACATCTGCTAAATATGTCTGTATCTGTCAGATTCTGTATCCTGGACTAGTATTTTCATTTAGAAAGAAAGATATTCTCTCAGTCATTATTCCGAGAATCAAGGTCGCAGTGAAGATAAAGACCATTCATTTTCCTTGATAAGAAATATCTGTGAACTGATGCAAGACAATGATCTTGCAAGATTGAAGAAATTAAGTTTCAAGCCAAGGAATTGATTGACTTCAATTTTGATTTGAAAATATCAAAATATATATAAATTGTGGTAACTATATTTCATTCAGTTAGTCCATCCATCATTGCAGACACAATGTTAGATGTTAAATATTCTTTCATAATGTCTTCAGAAATGTTTTTTAATAAAGTCTCATTAATATAGTTTACAATGCTAACAAAAACAACACGGTTCATGACTTAAGTTGTGTATAAGAAATTACATTGTTATCAAGATAGGGGATTGCCCACTACAAAATCTAACAACATCTAGCACTACTGATAAGTGGCCATAATTTTGAAAGTCTCCTCATTTTTATCGTCTTCGTCATTGATAAAGACCATAACTTCTACACTACCAGGCTTGGTGACAGGTGTAAACCGTAACCCGATAGTCTGAGTCTCTCCGCCCTCAATCTCGAGCCTTGACTCCCGGAACTGTAACAGGTCCTCGCGGTTGTTGAGAAGGTTAAACACCTTTTTGTGTGGGTAAGGATTTGTATATGGGATTCGCTTGCTGCATCCCTTTCCACCGCCCATAGGGAGAACAACATCGAAGGACCGGGAAACCATTGGGGCGCGACAACTCACACATACCAGCCACGAGCGTATAAGCTGATGGTATTCCACATCCACAACGTTTATATAGAAGAATTTGTTGCCTGCTTTCATTGGTCGAACAGCGACAGTCAGCTCATGGACAGCTCCAGCTGTCAGCATAAACTGATCACTAGGGTGCATCTGCATTTCATTGGGGTGTGACGAGTAACAACGAACCAAGCGTGAAGCTTGTGTTCCTCTACAATATAGAACATGTATTTGTACCACATAAACCCGTGACAATCAACAACAATTCACTCCTGATAGATCTTGATTGAATAAACACAATATTCATAAATTACTTCAACTTAAATCATTTACCAAGAATCATTCTTTGACCTATGATCATCATAGAGAACCATTTCAGTATTTCACTGTTTAATTTGTCTAAATTCAATTTTTGAACTGTTTGCCTGTGACTTTTGTGTTTGTATACTGACCTCAGGAGAAGATCAAAGCGGCTAGTCTGGCCTTCTACACATGCCACGTCTACACGCTGTAAGGCGTGTACATAAAACTGCCATATCTGTACTGGTCGTGTCATGAATGGATCAAAATACATCGCCACAAAGAACCTTTTACTCTGTGGAGATGGACCCATGGCCACCTAGAACAAATAAAACATTTTTTTAAAAAAAACTCTTTTTTTCCAATATTTGCATAAACTAGAACACTGACAGGTCAGCAAGGGTCCTGTTGTGTGACAGTATTCCCCATAATCATCATAAACCCATCTGCAGATATCACTGAGATTGACGATAGACATTTTTGTCTACAAAACAATTGTAACTATGATGTGCCTTTAATCTTTTGTCAGTTGACTTCTTCCTTAATTTAGATCCACTTTATACTTGACATTTTGCCCCAAAGGTCAAAGTCGTTGACCTTGATAAATTGGTCGATAAATACCTAAAGCTATCAGCCAGGAACTAAATTTGTGGACAAACAGATGGACAGAGTACACCAATACAAACTGGGTAGGTACTCATAAATAAAAAAAAGCAGTACCATCTTGTCCTGGTACTCTACATTTTTTTTTTCTTCATTCTGCCAATTCCCCCGCCCCCGGTCGACAGATAAGCTGAAATTTTTGCCTATTTTTTTTGTCCACATCATATAGTTGCTGCTTCAGTATTTAAGCTGCACACCCAACTCATGAGGAAAAAGTTGTGACTTATAATCTTGAAAATACGATAATCACTATTTTGCAACTATATCTTTGATTCCAAGCCCTAAGTATCTGATTTCAACCAATAAATGCAATAGACAATTCTTTGTATTAGAAAATCTGTTTTCACTTTTCAAAAGCTGCTTGTATTAGTTTAACATTAATCACAAATGCCAAGATGATGACAAACCTTTAAAAAGACATCTGTAGGCTCCCCGGGCTGTGTACTCTTGCTGTCACAGATCACATGACTGTTGCTGCACCTAACAAACACCTGATTCAGGCCTGGTCCACCAATGGGAGCACCTGGTTAATTAACATAGATAAAACACCATACAGAAATGGAGCTAACATATAACAACATACAGATCATATCTGATGCAGAAACAGAGGTAAGGCTTACATCTGAATTGACATGAATCTATAGCTTTTAAGTAGTCATACATTTCATTATTCTGATTAATTCTGATGAAATATTTCTCAACCAATTTTTTTTTTCACATCCAAACATGAACTGATAGACTAATATTTCCTTGAAAATGTCTAAATATATATTTCAGCTGTCAGTGTTAACTCATTGTGCAATATTTTCTTGATCTGAGTAAGGAGGTGGGCTTATTAAAAGACAACACCAAATGATCTGCTGGTATTTCTATCAAAAACTGGAATAAATAAGGATAGGCTTATTGTAAAATAGTGTACTAATATTTCCTTTTTGAGTTCTGTTGCTCTCAATAAGTCCAGCTTACCTGGTAAAGACTGGAAAGGTGGCATGCGAATAGACTTCTTTAGGAAGGACTGTTCTGGATGGTAGAACCTGAAAGTCTGGTCAATGATGTGAGGCTGGGGCTCCACCTTTACATGTAGGATAGACACTGGCTTACCATCCTCACTCTTAAAGAAAACCTGTAGGAGAGAGAATATACCAATCATAAGAGGGAGGTAAAAAACAAACAGAAAACCATGACAACGTAAAAATGTTTGAGAAATATCAGACAAGAGGATAATGATCAAAAGGTACATTGTATACCCTTATTACACTAAATCAGCCAAGCGTAACCTTTGACAGTTTAACCCTGACCATTGACCAGCAAAATCTAATAAAGTACCAAAGTACCAACACTGAAATTCAAGCAGGCTCAAAAGCAAGGGCTGGGCTTATTTCAGTACCATCGTCAGTAATTCTAGTAAAGAACAATAAAAATTGGCAGGTTTACAACCAAACATTGACCTAACATGAAGACTTAACTTCACCAAGTATCACCTGATTCTGATACTGAGCAGAAACAAATTTTTTCCTATACAATGCATTGTAAATATCTACATCTGTTATGGTTTTTTAGGAACAATTGTGCAGGTTTATTACTTTCTCATATCAAATTTTCTGATACTTAATCTTGAGATTTAGGGACTGTATAGATCTGACATATTGTGTACTCAGTGTTTTAATCTAGTCTGAACTAGAGGAAAATGTTGTGGTCTTCATTCAAACTGACCTTAATATCTTTCTCATTCATTGTCTGTGTGGGAGGTTTCTTGATGTCTTCATCATCCTCACTCCTCTGTTTGAATGGATCCACAGGCCCCTGAAAAAATTAGCCAATGATATATATAGACACCACAGGGCCCTGAAAACATAACCCATAATATATACAGATATCACAGGGCCCTGAAAATATAACCCATAATATATACAGATATCACAGGGCCCTGAAAATATAACCCATAATATATACAGATATCACAGGGCCCTGAAAACATTACCCATAATATTAAGATATCAAAAGGCCCTGAAAACATAGCCCATAATATATACAGATATCACAGGGCCCTGAAAATATAACTCATAATATACAGATATCACAGGGCCCTGAAAACATAACCCATAATATATACAGATATCACAGGGCCCTGAAAACATAACTCATTATCTATACAGATATCACAGGGCCCTGAAAACATAACCCATAATATATACAGATATCACAGGGCCCTGAAAACATAACCCATAATATACAGATATCACAGGGCCCCGAAAACATAACACATACTGTATACAGATATCACAGGGCCCTGAAAACATAACCCATAATATACAGATATCACAGGGCCCTGAAAACATAACCCATAATATATACAGATATCACAGGGCCCTGAAAACACAACTCATAATATATACAGATATCACAGGGCCCTGAAAACATAACCCATAATATATACAGATATCACAGGGCCCTGAAAACATAACCCATAATATATAGATATCACAGGGCCCTGAGAACATAACCCATAATATATACAGATATCACAGGGCCCTGAAAACATAACCCATAATATATACAGATATCACAGGGCCCTGAAAACATAACCCATAATATATACAGATATCACAGGGCCCTGAAAACATGCCCATAATATATACATAACCGAAAACATAACACATACTTTATACAGATATCACAGGGCCCTGAAAACATAACACATAATATATACAGATATCACAGGGCCCTGAAAACATAACCCATAATATACAGATATCACAGGGCCCTGAAAACATAACCCATAATATATACAGATATCACAGGGCCCTGAAAACATAACCCATAATATATACAGATATCACAGGGCCCTGAAAACATAACCCATAATATATACAGATATCACAGGGCCCTGAAAACATAACCTATAATATATACAGATATCACAGGGCCCTGAAAACATAACCCATAATATCAAATGGCCCTGAAAACATAGCCCATAATATATACAGATATCACAGGGCCCTGAAAACATAACCCATAATATATACAGATATCACAGGGCCCTGAAAACATAACCCATAATATACAGATATCACAGGACCCTGAAAACATAACACATAATATATACAGATATCACAGGGCCCTGAAAACAAAATATCTATGAAAAATCTAATCAATGAACTTTGTCAAACACCCATGAATGACACAAAGTTTGATTACATGCATTAAAAATATTGTTAAACAAACGTCAACAATCAGTGAAAGCTACTCCTGACCCGATGGTGTTTGTAATACTGTCACATTGTACCTGTGGTTGTACACTTTCGTCCGCTGAGAATGTCAGGTATTTAAAAGGAATCTGTACAGTCTCCTTCGGTCGTAAGAAGATCTCCACGTGGTGTGACTTGCTTTGTTTGTTAAACATGCCCTCTTCAACCTCACCCTGCAGTTCATACAACTTCTTAAAATAGCGCCACTCTCTCGGATCTGTCACAACACTACAAAACAGAAGGAAAACTATAGGATGTCCCCTTAACCTGGAATACTGACTGTAATGTTAAGTGTTTATACTCCTATTAACTGAACACAATTTATCAAAATAATTTTGAAATTAAAACTTTACATCAATGTCTTAATCAAGGATTTTAAATGATTTTTCGTTTTCATTTTTTTTTTGCACCTTGGCATGCAAATATTAAAACTAGGACAAGTTTTGTAAAATCTTTAGTATGAAATAAAAGCACATCATCTTAGTATAAGCAATGTTTACCCCAAGTTTCCTTATCCTAGTTTTAATGTAAGCAAAGCAAAGTTTGCAACACAAAATTTTAACAAAGGACAATAACTCTGAAAATTAAGGAGTTGCAGGCTATAAATTTGATAGTGTGTACATTCTCTTTGTATGACCAATGTATACACTAAGTTTCATTGTCCTTGCCAAACCACATATGGACATGCTACCCTGCAAATTTTCAGGAAGATTAAAACAAAAATTGAGGCAGCCATTTTGTTGAACCATTTTCAGTTCTTGACATAACAAAATGTGTTTATTTTGTATATTACATGTGTGATATTACAATAAATTCTGATTATTTGCAGCCAATGAAAAATGCTCCAGGGTAAAATACACTAGTACTAGTGACATAAACAGAGACAAAATACAGACATTCTGAGAGGCTGGTCCTCAGAGACAAAAATACAGACATTCTGAGAGGCTGGTCCTCAGAGACAAAAATACAGACATTCTGAGAGGCTGGTCCTCAGAGACAAAAATACAGACATTCTGAAAGATTGGTCCTCAGAGACAAAAATACAGACATTCTAGAAGGTTAGTCCTCAGAGGCAAAAATACAGACATTCTAGAAGGTTAGTCCTCAGAGGCAAAAATACAAATATTCTAGAAGGTTAGTCCTCAGGGACCAGAATACAGGCAAAGGAGCTTTACCTAGTTAAAAAAACTTACTTTAATTCTTTATCCTCAAATTCAACAACTACGGTTTGCTGCACATTGAATGGATTTTTGAAGACATATTCAAAGAACTCGGCAGTGCCAAAGGATGGATGTAGTGTGTAGGTAGTAGATATAGTCTGGCTCAACATATTCATGATTCCATCTTTCTTGGTCTGTAGACGGTAGATCTCCATTGTCTTGTAGTCTCTCATACGTTCTGACTTTTCTGTTTTGTAACTCTGAAATGTTTAAAAGGTAGTATTACTTTGTGTCCTTACTGATGTCCTCATGAACAGAGATTTTACAAGGCATCAAATCATCCATTAACAGAATAGAAAAACAACTTGATAGAAGCTTTAATATTGTCTCATGCTTAAAAGACATAAAAATCTTAAAGTTTCATTAAAATTTGATTTATTGACTGAAGATGAGGTCAAATTGATTTCAGGTACAATATAATCATTTCTTAATGTCATAAATACGAGTACAACGCATTGATGCCATCTGAAGACCCTATTAGATGGTTTGGAAAGGACTTACATAGGCATAGCCTGTTGTCTGATCCTATCAACACATGAAAAGTTAATCAAATTTGTTGAAATTGAAAGACTGTATCAGTTTTCATGATCATATTCATTCAATTTGTCTACAATCCTGTACTGTAACAGATCTTAATTGCTATTTTAGCTATAAGCAAAAAAAAGCCCAAACTCCATAAAATAAAAGCTTTCTAGTTCATAGTTGAATGAGTTACCAGAAACAGCTCACCATTATTGTGTTAACTTTGTTGTCGATGCCCTGAGCTTGGCGAACAGCGTGGATACGGGACAACTTCCTGTTCCTCTCAGAATCTCCCTCACGGTTTGTGTCCTTCTCTGGTACCACCTGGTCTTTATGTGACGTCAGCATAGCCTGTACTTCCTGATTTGTGTCGGCCAAGTGTTTCGCTCGAGCTATCTTCTTCCACTGGGACATACCTATAAACAATCAAGACATGAAAGCATGATGATGTATGAATCTGGACAGATATATTTTTTTCCCAAAATCTACTTTTTAACACGATGGTTATTATATAAATAATATCATTTATGTCTGAATTTTTTTCAAAATAATTCCAGATGTCTGGAATACGAATTCTTATCATAAACAGGTTTTCTTAGTTATTTCACATCAATTCTAGTCATAAAATAATAAAAAAGATCATATATTTGCTACTTATAATACTGTTATAATCTGGATGAATATTAAAGATTTAGGAAATTCCTAAAACTTGGTAACAATTAAACAATGTAAAAACAGAAGTACAAAGATTGAACAGACAGTTAATTCTGGTACTCGGAAAGAAAATTAAGTAAAGATGTAAAAGTAGAAATAGTGACATCACACTGGGATCTATCTAGGCTGACTATATATATATACACGGAAATTCCAAGGAAAATTTACAGCTTGGAGACATGGAGCAATGTAGTTGTTAACCTACTGAAACAGTGAAAACTACAGGGACATTATTGCATCAAAAGGCTTTTCTATATATAAATGAGGGTCATTTTACTTCTGTATCAAAAAAGCCCATTTTATACAAATTCTGATGAACACAAACAGGACATTAAATAGGGCCTCTACCACTTTAATAGATAATCAAGTGTATCACATTGGAGTATCACTGCATTATTGTATCTTAAAAGAGAAGGGCATTATATAAAGGTTTCACTGACTATATGAAGAGAAGGACATTATATCAAGGTTTCACTGACTGTATGAAGAGAAGGACATTATATCAAGGTTTCACTGACTGTATGAAGAGAAGGACATTATATCAAGTTGTCACTGACTGTATGAAGAGAAGGACATTATATCAAGGTTTCACTGACTATGAAGAGAAGGACATTATATCAAGGTTTCACTGACTGTATGAAGAGAAGGACATTATATCAAGGTTTCACTGACTGTATGAAGAGAAGGACATTATATCAAGGTTTCACTGACTGTATGAAGAGAAGGACATTATATCAAGTTTTCACTGACTGTATGAAGAGAAGGATATGATATCAAGGGTTTACAGTGTTAACTCTACCTATGGAGATGGACATTTTCCTAAGATTACAAGAATTTGAGTCTTACTATAAAACTGGTATTCGTTTTTTTTTAGTTTCTATGACTATGTCCGAGATAATTCGGAGCAGAATTGTCAGGCGGAGAGTGTTAATAATGAAACTGTTACCAGGAGTAGTGCTAGAGGTAGAGAATGAACCCGTGAGTCGGCCACCTGGATACGAACTGTTGCCTGCTGTCTGGGACATAACCCGTGGGTTTTTCACTGTCGGGATCGTCTGTGCTGTAAATATCATAGCAAGTCTAGTCTAAATCTAGCTGGTAGAGCAGCTAAAGGTGATGTTCTGGTTAGACAGGTAAAATTAGTAATAAATATAAACATAAAGGAAGTTAATTAGAACTAAAAATGTAATCTACAAGTTAACTGACGATTGAAATAAAGTTGTCTTAATGATCATAACAAGAGGTCCACAGGGCCTGAACTGTAACCTGAGTCAACTCACCAACAATCGGAATAAATATAAAAAGATAAATCTGAAGTTGTGACTCATTGTTTTAAAAACTTTCATGACATAACGCTGACCTCATAAACAATTCTTTACTTTATCCCCTCCCCAGGGGAAAATGTGAGGTAGGGCCCTGGGGGTCATTAATTTTACAATTTTGGCAAAGCCCCTCTTAACCCTTCAATTGGGGAGTATTTGATTCTACCATATTTGGGTATTGAGAAGAATATTTTTGAAATCTCTTGACAATTCCATGCTTTTTGGTTCCACTGATCAGGCCATGGAGATCAGCTACTGTCAGTTATATAATCATGCATATCATCAGACTGTAATCCTTTACTACCAAAACTTATCAAGTTTGATCTATTTCTAACAGAAAATAAAAAATCATCCTCAAAATGTGTTTTTCCTCATTAAATCATTATAATACATACATCAGTAAACTCTTTATTTATCACAAAAACAACTTCCAGCTATCAAAGTGTGTACCCTTTATATACCTATCCATAAAGAGGTGCCAGGTTTTATAAATACATTCTTGTATGTACAATGGACTCTGTCTAAACCGTGCAATCTAGATATTTACCTAATCCGGTCAAATAAATAATTGCCAATTCCAACAATAGATAGATTCCACTGTATACATGTAGATTACAGCCCATAATTTCCTGAATTTATGCCCATTTTTGTTTTGTTTTTTTTTAGTTTTTGCTTTTGTTTTTTCAAAGGTACAGGTGGTAAACTTCATACAGGTCATACTGGTGAAGATGTAAGTCCAAAACTATAAAATCAAAAATTCCGATTTTCTTTTTAATTATTAAGACAACCAAATCACCTCAGTCATCAAACTTGCAGTTTGTTGATATTTGCACAGCTCTGTTGTTTGAAGCATCTTTAAATAATTCATACTTTTTAATTATCAAAAATTTATGTTTTCTTATGTCTTAAGTATTTTCAATATCATCACATCAAATTTCAATAAAAAAAAAGTAAAGATCTAACTTTAGATTTAATTCATGCCCATATAAGGTAATGATGCTTCAAACAAATGAGGCATGGTAGCAATAGCAGTAGGTAAAAATATAACTATAAAAAAAATAACAAAAAAAGTCAGCTATATATCTGAAAAGATGAAAAAATATATAGCAAACATGATGAATCAGAATGTTTAAGATGCAATGGTTCTATCAATAAATATTTTTCATATTTTATCATTTTTGTGACAATTTTATCAAAACTGATTTTTATCCAATTTGACTTATGATATTTTTTACTAAAAAATACCCCTAACTTAAAAGTCTGGACTGGGCTTATTTGTGAGCAAGCTCCTGTTTGAAAATTGGCAAAGATTGTTCAAAAGGAATATAGAAAAAAATGATACAATCAATTATTAGATCAACAATATTAAGAGAGATTCAGTTTATAACAAAATATTCCCTCTGTTAGAGCTAGTTACATATTCCACGTCAAACATTCCGATTCAACACGAGAGAGAGGTGTACACTAAGTAGATACAGTAAAAGTACAGATATCATAGTGGTTCTTTACTTTTCTTGCCTCCAACATGAGTTAACAGGGAGTTTATTGGTTTCAATTGATCTGCAATAAAAAATTCATGACAAAGTTTTCTTCATAATTATGTCATAAAAAGTTTTTATCAATCTTAACTCCAACACATACTTACCACACAATAAATATTTTCTTTTTTATATCAATGAACTTATTTACTGACAAATGATAAGATACAGAACAAGCCATGGACATTTTTCATGTTCAACTTTAAATTAAAAACACTTTTGAAAATTAATTTTACTTTAAAACCATGATAATCAAATAAGAAGTAGATTAATAATAAAAGATTCATGTTCTTGTTAAAACGATTGTTATGGAATAAGATACGGAAAAGACACCTTCAATTTTGCAATAGCCTGTTTCTCAGTAAAAGTTTTTTGTATCAATATTTCGAACATATTTCATCATTTTTTTTGACAAAATCCTATCTGAAATTTTATAAAATGAAACATGGAGTTTAATTCTAAAATCTGTATAATAAAACAGCCAAACATTATCAGGAATAAGTACTGTAAGATAAAGTATGTCATTGACGTACCTGCTAATGTTGACTTGGGATCTGTTTTTTGTCCAATGTTTGCCATTCGGAGGTGAAGTTTGCCTTTAAGGGAGGTTTTCACTCCAATTGGTTGAATTCCGCCAACATGGTTAATATTGCTGTTGACTAAATTTGGATCGTTTTCATACTCAGTTGTTATGACGTCAAGTTCAAAAGTCGTCTGTACAGCTTCACTTCCACATCGACACAAATACTAAAATGGAGAAATTTATTTGTGAATATGTTTTCTTACCATAGTTTTTTATACAAACTTACATAGCTATTTCAATTAAACATTAGAAAAGTTTAACGTGTACTCCATATCTTTTGATTACAATTTTTTCAAACATTGTATGATATGAAGGATAATGTTATTTTTTAACAATAACAGTGATTAAAATTCAAGTGATTCATAATTTAATATACAGATATGTAAAAATCAATAAAATATTTCTCAATACAATGTATCTTATAAAACCATACTACGTAATTTTTTTATGAACTAGTGAGCTTGATTTGATATAGTTACAATGATATAAATGGCGAGTTGACAGTGTTACAGACACAAATCACTTAACATTTCCTAAGAACAAATCTTGTTATAGTGTTTGATAAATTACTCTTTTTCCAATATGATCTGAATTTTCCTTCTCAAAAGACTGCAACCCACATTCTGTTTCTTTTATGAAGCACCTGACCTAAGACTCCAGCACCCAGATTTAACAGTCTCATTTTATTTGAAATCTGAATTTTCATCCTTGACCTCAAGTTTTACAGTGTTAATTGTATAGCTTTCTCCTTAACCTCTGACTCTTGACCCTTGACCTATACTTTCAAATGACTGCACAAGGTCAATCCTCTGTCTGACCTCTGACATTTAAGTTTGACCCATGACCCATCAGTAATCCTGACCTTAAGCTGCACGGCACATGATCCCATGAGTAGAAGTGTGTCTCCATCCCAAACATCTATATGTAGGACCTGCTGGGAGAGGTGTTTCAGGAATAAGGTATTCTCACCAGGCTTCATGCAAGCTGGGTCCATGTGATATCGCACCTGTTATTGGAAATTCTATAATTAGAGCTTATATCAAGAAAAAAATCAAAGAAAATTCTTAATAGGGCTGTATAGGAAGCAATGTAAATATATAACTCAGACAACTAAGAGCAAATGAAAAAAATAATTCAATGTATATAATTAGGCTGAAAGTTGAGACATGAATCAAAAGAAATAATTAAAATAACCAGAATTTTTAATAAAATATATAGCAAAAGAACATAATACAGACTTGACATTATGTCTGGATGTCTTCTGTATTGTAGACATAGTACAGACTCGACATTATGTCTGGATGTCTTCTGTATTGTAGACATAGTACAGACTCGACATTATGTCTGGATGTCTTCTGTATTGTAGACATAGTACAGACTCGACATTATGTCTGGATGTCTTCTGTATTGTAGACATAGTACAGACTCGACATTATGTCTGGATGTCTTCTGTATTGTAGACATAGTACAGACTCGACATTATGTCTGGATGTCTTCTGTATTGTAGACATAGTACAGACTCGACATTATGTCTGGATGTCTTCTGTATTGTAGACATAGTACAGACTCGACATTATGTCTGGATGTCTTCTGTATTGTAGACATAGTACAGACTCGACATTATGTCTGGATGTCTTCTGTATTGTAGACATAGTACAGACTCGACATTATGTCTGGATGTCTTCTGTATTGTAGACATAGTACAGACTCGACATTATGTCTGGATGTCTTCTGTATTGTAGACATAGTACAGACTCGACATTATGTCTGGATGTCTTCTGTATTGTAGACATAGTACAGACTCGACATTATGTCTGGATGTCTCCTATATTGTAGAAATAGAGATGTGATCAAAGAGCTTTCGACTGCTTTTTAAAATAAAAGTCGTAAATTAAATCTGATATATAATTCGCACTCCTATATAATGACGAGTCAACCTCTAGACACAATATATAGCATTGAGGTTTATCAGATACATAATATTTACAATAAATCAAGCTCTTTATATGTCATATTTAAATAATACACTGGTCTGTCAAAGTAAATATACAAATAACACTGAGACCAACCTCCATGCCTGGGGGACTCTGAGATATAGTTCCCTTGGATTCAATTCTCTGAAGGATGTATGGCACTGAGTAACGATCAGATGATAATTCATTTTCAGGTTTGGCCAGCATCATTCTTGAAGTGTGAAAACAAAACATTTGATTAAAAATGTGTAAATAGCCTTTTTATAGATAGATGTAATGCTAACGCATGACTTGTATACTTTAAAGTAAACTACTTGCATTATACCGGTATATACAAATCAAAATTTCTTTAACGTTCATATCACTCATGTTTATAAAAGAAAATGTTCTATCTACATGATGTGAATAATGAAATAGAAGGGGAAATACAATTATGATTATGCCCTCATTAAATTGGATGAACTAAGTATTTATAATGTACTGTTGAGGATTAATGACCGATCTGTAAATTGTCCTGAAGAGAGCAAAACCTCACTGACCTCTCACAACTGACTAATTAAGAAAGGCTCTGAGTGATTATATATACAGTTAGACTGACAACTTATACATGACCTATATATTGACATTTCTACAGTGACCTATATATTGACCTCTCAGTGTTGACCTATATACTGACCTCTCTGTTGTGACCTGAGGACATCGGTAGAACTGGAATGTGAAGAACACAGTACTTGTTTCAGTCTTAGGTCCTGTGGCTTCAAATGCCATCATTCTAAAAATAAATAAAAGATATTTTAAGAACACAGCACTCACAAAAATCACCCAGTTTTACAAACAATAATAGATACACCTTACAAGCATATATATACAGTTCTCTACTTTCTGGACAACTTTTCAGGAATATATGAGAGCTAGAATAAAAGGCTCAATTGCTTAATTGAAATGATTTTCGTTGATTTACATCCAGCATCTTATACATCTTATATAATATATACAGTTACTAAAATGTTTATCACAACATCTAATTATTCTTTAAATGATCTATTTACAAAATATTTGAAATCAGGTACATAATGAGATCTGTTGTTTTCAGCCTGCCTTGAATAATTGTACTAACATGTAACTGCTTTGTTTCACACTCTTGAGATTATTATTGTGTACTTTTGCCCCACAGACATGTTCTTGGCTGGAACCTTGAGGTTTAAATCATAACTTTTTTCTGTTGTAGAAGACAGCACTTACTTGGAAAACGCCAGAAATTGGAAGACAATTTCATTACACTGTAGAGGGTCAGCGTTCTCCTTAGTGAGGTCAAGTCTACGATCCTGTCTTGGATCAATGACTTCAGGTGGTTCACTGTTTCTGTCCAATATCGGCTGGAATCCTGCATTGAAGAGTCGGGCATACGCTGCTCTTGACAATCCCTGGGCGCTATGATATAACAAAGAAAGTGTTTTATCAGGCAGGGAAGATACAGTTTGTATGACAGATGCTACACCTTAATTTGTCAAACTCTTGATCAGAAAGTGCTATCTAAGCAGGATATTTAGAATGCTCTACAAAGTCTTTGACAATTTTTATATCCTTGACATTTCCTTAGCCAAAATTCTGTCATAATTTTTGTTTAACTCATTTCCCTTTTAACAGATACAACAATTCTGATATGGCTGTGGTTAATCAATTTTTTTAGAGTTATGATAATGAAACTTTTAATATCTTAATTTGATTTTCATTAAATCTTTAATATTTTAATTAAAAATTTCACCAAAATAACAAGACCATGGAGAATTGCAACTTACAATTATTTTAGTTTTTTATTCTTAAAATTTTGGAATTTAATGGATGATTCTATTCTCTTAAGGGAGATTACTCCCACTAATCAGAATTCCATTTTTTTTTTTTTTTTTTTGGTTGTTACAGATTTAGACTTACCCAACATTAGCATGGGGCTGTACCACTATGGGGGCATGGACAGGGGTGAAAGGCAGTTCATTCATCTCTGTGGACATCCCCACCTGTCGACTGCTTGCGGACTGAAACCAGACATACAGATCTAGTTTAAACCAGTATGACAATCCCAAGAATGATAAATACATATTTACCAATGTAAAAAGGAATAATGAATTTATTCTATATATGTATTGAAATATTTTTCCTTTCTGCTTAGAATTTGACACAATTTCCGTACCATGTGTGAGATTTCCATTCCATAGAGACCCTGCTGTGGACCATACATGGACTGTTGTGGCATGCCCTGAGGGAACATATAGCCCTGAGCCCCGGGAGGGAACATCTGGGGGGTTGACATCACACCCTGGGGGCCCATTCCTTGTTGCATCATCATCTGCTGTTGTTGCTGTTGCATCATCTGTTGCTGGTGGCTCATGCCACCCTGTTGCATCATCTGTGGCACCTGTAGTGACATTGGGCCACTACCCGGAGTTCTGCAACAAACAAAAGTTCTATAATTATATATACTGTGTACACACAAACTGAATGATATATCAGTCACATTTATTGGACTGGATGTTGTGACGAAAAACGAAAAAAAAAATATTGATGTAACAAATAAAGTTTCAGAAAACAGGCAAAAATTGTTTACTATAATTTAAGGAATTCAAAACATATTTATTAGATCTTTTTATTTGCTTTTTCTTTTCTGTTTTTTTATTGGGGTGGGGGGGAACTGTTTATCAATACATTAATCTTTACTTTATCATCACAGCAGTCACAAAACAATTATTTGCTGCAGGTAACTGATAGAAATATCATATCATATTTTCCCCTGAAGTTCCACGACTCGTTAATGACATGGACATAGGGGTACAATTATACATGCTTATTTTGAATTCATCCAAACGTAAGAAAATAAATAAGAAAAAGTTATTCCAATGTGATGTAGACAGAAAAATCTCAACCTATGGGATAAAATTTTTTAAAGTTAGAAATTTAGCAAAACCTCACTTTGTCAAATGAACATGTTTAAAAGCAAGCACACACAGAAAATTTCCTATTAACATTTCTTAATATTGACACAAAAAGCAATTTCCGAATGACATTATGTCAATTAGATGTAAATATCTTAAATCAAAAGTAGTGATAGAGTAAGTGTACAAATATTGATTGTAATCAATCACCTCAGTGTATGTGATTATAAGGTGAAGTGGTCTAGATATTGGACAGGGAAAACCTTCCCGTGGATAGTGTCTTGTAATGGTTGACTTACATAGGGTAGGTGCTAATACACATGATTATGGGAATACAACACAATTAAAATGTTTTGAAATGTTGTTTAGAAAACTTACTTCAAACAGGAATATTTACAGAAAACAAAAAAAAAAAAAAAAAAACACAACAAACATCTCTGCAGCATCTTGACCCAAAAAGGGTTTGTTTTTATAAGTGGCCAACCAGTTACAATAAAAGAGAAGATATACTGATATCGATAAAGTTCACAAAGTTTTCAAAATTAGACCTAGGGGTAGACAGAAACATTTTCAAATTAAATGGTAAAAACAAACATCTGTTCAGAACACAAATATTTTCTGTAATCTTCCACAGTGATATTATTACATTAATCAAAATCACAGAACATCAAATTGAAGAAATGAACCAAAGACTGGAATTAAAATTCACAACACACACATCATTCACAACAAAAAAAATGAGTGTTGTTACGGAGTGGTGTGAATTATTTGACTATAAATGCATAATCTTACAGCTCTGTTGTACCCCGTGCTGTGGTGGCCTCACTTTGGACTACTGAGGCCATACTAGGTCGCCTCATATCCATTACACCCTGATTACCATACATCCCAATACCTCTGTAAATATGTAGTAGCACCACATTTAAACAGGGAAACAAAATCTTTATTATCTCCCTTTACCCTTATATTTTATTCAACATAACCCTCCAAACAAATATGCACATAATTTACTTAAATGCAATTCCGATCTGGACCGCAGACAACCACCTATATGCTACTGTGCAATATGATAATACAGTAGAGACAATCATATTAAAATTAGAGGAACTTGAGAGATCTCTAGTAACAGGGATTGATGGGCTACCATGTTCAAGGTAGTTGTATAGGCTAAAATTTACACAATATTTTTCTGCAGACTTATTTTCAAACCTAGGCCTTCATTAACTTTATCAAAATTGTAAATAATATATTAACTATTGAGTCATTGCATCCACTGTTCTGTTCCACAGAGGAACCAAAGTTTACTATATTTTACATACACTGTACAAACTAGAACATATCTGCAACAAAATGCAACACATGAAAAGCCAACACCCCAATATATGAATTTGTATATATAAGCAGTAGTTTCTGTAAGTTTTATACATATAAGTCTAGAATATCATTTTTTTAAAATTGTTCCTCGTATATGAATTCCATTACAAAGGGAGAATGGGGTTTCTCAAAATTTGTGTAGTTTCTACAGAAAAAGCATGAACCAAAATTAAAATATCTGGGTCCCAAACATCAGTGATTGAAATGTGACCTTTGAATCGGTAACCATGACCTGTAACCATGACCGGTAACCATGACCGGTAACCACCTTATTACAATAAGGCCTAGATGTTATAATACTATGAGTTAAGTATGAGCCAAATCTGTTGAGAGGTCCTCAAGATATGACATTGATTCAAAATGGGACAGGACTGCACTGAATGGGAAAGACATGGATAGCATGACCTCCCCATAAAGTAGAGGGTGGGTGTTTCATACAAAACTATGGAGAAACATGAGAACAATTCCTGGGGTGTTGGGGACCAAGGATTAATAATCTTTTTTCTGAAATCTCTGTCTTACCTTGGAGTCCTGCCAGAGGGAGGTTTCCTGATGCCCGAGTCCAACATCTCACTTCCATCACCACTCTGAACCGAGGCCATGGACCCTGGCATGTACCCACTACCTGCGGGCATCATGCCACTCATCCCTGGCATCAAGCCATCAGACATCATACCCCCTGGACCGAGCATGGCAGAATTCGGCATACCACTGTAAACTCCCTCCTATAATCAATGTAAAATTGTAGCAAGTCCAGTAAAAATAAGTTAAATGTTGACTGAGAAGAGTTGTTTTTTTTCTTTTTAAATTAATAGACTCTTTTTTGCAAAGAAACCTTTAATTTTCAGTGGGAAAATTTTAATTTAGAGATACTCTTTTAAAAACAATGATTATGACCTATATACATAGTCTTGTTCCCTGAGGACCATTTCTATCTTACCTGATCTTGGAAGGAGAAAGAGAAAACCAGGATTCCTCTAACAGTTTTACTGACATAGTCTTGTTCCCTGAAGACCATTTCTATCTTACCTGATCTTGGAAGGAGAAAGAGAAAGCCAGGATTCCTCTAACAATTTTACTGACATAGTCTTGTTCCCTGAAGACCATTTCTATCTTACCTGATCTTGGAAGGAGAAAGAGAAAGCCAGGATTCCTCCAGCAGTTTTACTGACATAGTTTTGTTCCCCGAGGACCATTTCTATCTTACCTGATCTTGAAAGGAGAAAGAGAAAGCCAGGATTCCTCCAGCAGTATTACTGACATAGTCTTGTTCCCCGAAGACCATTTCTATCTTACCTGATCTTGGAAGGAGAAAGAGAACGCCAGGATTCCTCCAGCAGTTTTACTGACGTTCTCATGCTGCATCTTGGTGTCTGGCAGTTTGTAGATGAATTCCTCATCAGGGGCAGGACTTGGTCCTCCATTTAATGCCAATCTGATTTCATATGAGCTTTGAGCTAAAAATGGGTTCCATGCTGCCCAACGTATTGAGACGGTACGTGTGTTTCCTCTGGCTACACGGCTGGAAACCTGATTACAACATCAAACACACAATTGAAGCACTGTACTATTCAAAATCTAAAACATAAGCCAGAATATTAAAGAATTGAATTAAAAGAAAAATGCTCACAGAAACTATAAAATATATTCAGACATGTTTTAACTATTTTGAAGCCAATTTGAAGATTACATCCTGAAAACAGTAATGTTGAACCTTGACCTTACCTTTCTGTCTTCCTCTGAGAGAGGTTCCCCTATGACGTACTCCAGGGTAAATGTAATGGCTACCATGGGATCCTCCAGTAGGTCTCCTAGCTGTATCTTGTTTGGCATCGTAAGGAATGTCATTCCGCTGTAACAAATACAAGTTATCTCCCTTGAGTTGAATAGACAATTATATAAGTGGAAATGAAAACAAAATCGAAAAACACAAACCCTTGATAAGTAAATTCTATGAAAAATATCAGAAAGAACTCTGACAAATTTTTGGTATATTAGGTGAATGACAAAGAAGGAATGACATCGATGAACTTCTGGGTCAGTTACATTTGACCTTATAACATGTTTTCTACGCATTTTGCATTTTTTTAATCCATTTGATAAGACCATCCATATGTATCTAGTCGTAAATTAAATTCATAAATGAATGCTAGTTCATTGTCCTTTAAACTATAAGTATACCTCCAAACTTTAATAAAAAGTTGTGTTATGATTAGCTAGGCATAAATTGAAGTACAAACTCAATAAAACCAAATATCCATAACTGATACTATGATCTTTCACATAAAAAGCAAAACTGTCTACTCTATAATTCTATTAGGTACACATAAATTGTTGGATTTACAGAAATCCTTCTAGTGCGCTTCAAAATTGTTTGTTTGTTTGCGGAGTTTATCATCCAGTGAACAGCAAGGGTCATTTTGAGGTGGGGACTCCTTGTAGTACCTCACTGAACAACATATGAGAGGCCCATCACATGCCATAAAGAGCAATTAGGTTACAGTGTCTTGCCCAAGATCATAGCCACAACAGCACAGACTGGTTTGCTTCTCAGCTTCCTGAGAAACACAACCCACACAGGAGTGTTGAACCATGTACCTTGGGTCTCCTAATTTACATAGGTTAATGGTTCACTGACTCAGCTATTGCAGTCCCATACAATCTAATGGATAACTCTGGGACAACAAAACAAAGCCAGTTTCTCTGAATGTAGTTACCTGTCATCAGCCTTCTGACTAGATTGCTGAAACTTCTTGCTGCGACGGACACTTGGACTAGCTGTAGGTTTCAGAGATTTGGACTTGTCAGTGTGAAGATCCAGATGTAATATCTGCGGCTTGTCCAGGAAGCCCCAGCCATTGTGGATGCCAACCTACAGCGTTAAAAAGTTAAAGCATTACCTGACTTAGGAAAACACTTATTGTTTTACAAGTTTGATAAAAACGATTTTCTGATATCCTTATGATGACAATTTATAACTGTAGAACCTATATGTATGAACATTAGCTATAATGAAAAAGCTAAAAGAAATAATAATTATATGAGGTATGTTTTTGCAAAAACTTTCAAAAGTTTGTCTCTCAGTCTTCTGAGAAACACAAACCACCCCATGAACATTGTTTGCAGATACTGCTACTTCTAGAGAAATGTTATAGATACATTGTGGGGTCAAAAACTGTATACTCTTAAGACACATATTATTAGTGTTTCTAATAAGTGAACTAAAGACTGATGAGTTGCCCAGAGTGCAAAAATTTCAAACTTACCAGTAATCTCCTCTCCACGATTGTGACTTGTGTACCAGATGTGGTACGCCCGTCCCGTTCTATGCGGTCTTTGTGTAATAGTTCCGATAGCTCCTCTTCAAACTTATCCACAGTAGGATGGAGTTGAATATTCACATGCTCCAACTGGCAGCCTATCTTTCGCACTGATCTGGGCTTCTTTAGCTGGTCCTTGCCTGCGTTTACAATCAACAAAATACTTTAAATAAATTCTTTTACACCGAACTTATGTCATGCAAGTAAAATCTGTGTTCTCAATGACTCAAATTTTCATGGTTTTACGAAACAACACGTAGGTAAAAATTTTAATGTTTCATGGAGATAATGAAATGGACATTAAAAATTAAAGTTTTATTTTCAAAGTAAACAATGTTAAAACTTTTTTTCACGATTTCCACTACCCTCCAAGACAGCGAAAAGTAGAACCTTTTCAAAATCTAAAGGTATGATATATAATTTATATGTGCTGCAACTCGGAATTGTCAAAAGTTATGAAGGAGTTCTGTTTTTTGCTACTTTTGAGTAGTTGAAATGAAATACGTCAAACACAACACATATGTCTCAGCTATAACTCGAAACTCTAAACCACTTATTATTTATGCTTTAAAAGGGTAAAACAAATTTAAGTGCAATTTATACTGTACATGGTGAGGATTTCCCTGTATACAGTATTGCAGTGTAAACAGACAGATTGCTAATAGAGAATTTGTTAGTTAATATTACAACATAGTAACAAATATATCTGATTGCGAGAAAGGCCAGGAGTAATTTTTCACTATATTTAAAAGGATTGGTGACAAATTGTGCAAATCAGCTTTAAGTCCTACTGTACACAGAATTCATCTGTGTCTGACATTTTATTTTAATCATTTATAGGAAATCGTTTGATTAAGTAACCCGTATATATCATATTTTTTTTTATTTTCTAAACACTATAGTCATTTCAATAAATCACCATAACATGAGTGTACAAAATAATATGTTGTCATGACGACCACATCAACATGCTTACAATAACCATCATAGTAACAATTTTCTACAGCTTTCCTGGAACCTTCGACTTAAACAGCTTTGATGTTAAAACTACCAAATGTGAACAAGAAGACTTGCTGGTCTTAAATATTAACCTGGATTAGAAAGTAAAGAACAATGTAAAACATTGAATTCTGACAGGAAGAATTGTCTCAAAACTAATCTTTATATTTACAACGGGTAATGCTACCTGGAGTCTGACTCTCCTGGAGACCTGGGACCATATCATTGCTACCAATGATAACATTTTCTGGTATAAGGTTCATGACGTCCAGCAGGGCCTTGTGTGTTCCGAGCGTGTAGGACAACATACAGTCTGGGATGGGCTTCAGCATACTGTTACCTGTTGTAAACAATATAGAACATCTATGTACCCTGTTGTAAACAATATAGAACATCTATGTACCCTGTTGTAAACAATATAGAACATCTGTGTACCCTGTTGTAAACAATATAGAACATCTAGGTACCCTGTTGTAAACAATATAGAACATCTGTGTACCCTGTTGTAAACAATATAGAACATCTGTGTACCCTGTTGTAAACAATATAGAACATCTATGTACCCTGTTGTAAACAATATAGAACATCTGTGTACCCTGTTGTAAACAATATAGAACATCTGTGTACCCTGTTGTAAACAATATAGAACATCTGTGTACCCTGTTGTAAACAATATAGAACATCTAGGTACCCTGTTGTAAACAATATAGAACATCTATGTACCCTGTTGTAAACAATATAGAACATCTAGGTACCCTGTTGTAAACAATATAGAACATCTATGTACCCTGTTGTAAACAATATAGAACATCTGTGTACCCTGTTGTAAACAATATAGATCATCTGTGTACCCTGTTGTAAACAATATAGAACATCTATGTACCCTGTTGTAAACAATATAGATCATCTGTGTACCCTGTTGTAAACAATATAGAACATCTATGTACCCTGTTGTAAACAATATAGAACATCATATGTGTACTACCCTGTTGTAAACAATATAGAACATCTAGGTACCCTGTTGTAAACAATATAGAACATCTATGTACCGTTGTAAACAATATAGAACATCTGTGTACCCTGTTGTAAACAATATAGAACATCTGTGTACCCTGTTGTAAACAATATAGAACATCTATGTACCCTGTTGTAAACAATATAGAACATCTATGTACCCTGTTGTAAACAATATAGAACATCTGTGTACCCTGTTGTAAACAATATAGAACATCTATGTATCCTGTTGTAAACAATATAGAACATCTATGTACCCTGTTGTAAACAATATAGAACATCTATGTACCCTGTTGTAAACAATATAGAACATCTATGTACCCTGTTGTAAACAATATAGAACATCTGTGTACCCTGTTGTAAACAATATAGATCATCTATGTACCCTGTTGTAAACAATATAGAACATCTATGTACCCTGTTGTAAACAATATAGAACATCTATATACCTAGTCTTATTGTTGACATTTCTACTGATGTTTGTTTGTTTTGTGGGTTCTGTGTTTATCATGGGCTTCAGTCATTGTGAGGCAGGGTATCCTTGTACATGTAGTAAGACAACATACGTAGTGTCAAACCCTGAAGCTCAGATCTTCACCTCAGGTTATGTAGGTCACTGCTCTGTTGATTACATTAAAATGTGACCCTGAATATCAGTGGTAGGTAACTAACACATCATACAGGGACCAAACACATTTATTTAACTCTGGTTCAAAGTCAGGGCTGGATTATAAGGAAACAGATGCTGATGTTGATTCTACTGTCAAACTAACAGTAGGCGTAAGTGGGCTGTGACTTGGGATAAACATGAGCCAGTTTAAATGTTGTATTGATTTCATTGAGGGATGGTTTAAACAATGGCTTAGTCTTCCTTACTTTCAATTGGTTCCTCCATAAAAAGTAGAGCTCGTGGTGTCCCATAATACATCTGGATTCTGTAACAGTAAGGTTTTATATATATATATAGTTACATATATAGATTACATAATATATTACATATATATATATAGATTATATAATATATCAAAATATATATATATATATGTCTGAAGGAAACCTATATATATATATATATATATAGTTACATATATATAGATTACATAATATATTTACATATATATTTATATATATCCATGTGATGTGATATATTAAAGTAGGACAATATATTGAACGACTGCTGGTAAGGTGGTGTGGTCTGAAGGAAACCTAGGTCTGAAGGAAACCTAGGACAAAATATTGCTGCTAAGATCGTCAGCAAAAAGATAGCGGACCATAAAGCTTGATTAATATACATAGAAAAAAAATATTGTTTCAAACCTTTACAACTCAATACCATCTCTACAATAAATACTCCAAGAAGCTTAATATCAAAATCAATATTTCATTAACTTGGACTCAAAACAAATCACTTTGAAATGGTAAAAACAGAATTATTCAAGAAAGTTTTATTATCAAATCGTTCATGCTTTGAAATTATTCTTAATTATATGTTACATGACATTGGATAGAGCATGGCCATTGTAATTCAGAGAAACATTTTCTTGTACAAGGTCACCTTTTTATGTGGCTGATATTTCTCTAACATATCTTACATTGCTGGAATGTTCAAATCAATAAATGTTCTCACAACACAGAAATGGATTGTTGGTGTGACTTATTGACATCAGGTGGAATTTCTTATGATTAGTCATTATTACTAATTTAAGCTCAAAAGATTGCTTTATTACAGAGAGAGTATCCTGTAATAAGCCCGGGGCATCAACATCAAAGTAGAGGATGGGCTGATATTATCGTAGAAATTTGCAGGACCATAAAACAGTGTTTGTTCATATTTTTACTGAACTGCTACATATAAAAAAATGTAAATGCTTATAATTAGCCTTAGGTTTATTAACAGATAAATAGTGTTTCATTATATTCATTCAGATCAAAGTGAGGTGATATGTTACAAAATATTTACTTCTGCACTGGAAGGTTTGAAGCTCGTCCAAAGTCAGGAAGGTCCTCGTTGGACTTGAAGACATGGATGAGGCCCCAGCCACAGGAAAACTTCTTCTGTTTGCCATCTTCCTCTCTCACTGTAGCAACAACTTCTACTACACCAGCAATACTGGCATTGCCAAGGGATGTGTGGAAGTATACATTCTACAAAAGAAATTATCAACATTTACAGACCGTTGGAAACACACTTATCATTTCTTTAACTGTCATTGAGCAGACAAATTCCATAAAAAATACCCATAGAATCCAAGAAAATACCTTGAACTTGATAAGACAAATTTTAAAGATAAATTGCATTTAGAATTTTCACCTATTGAAATTTGACCATTTATTCTCTCTTAAGATATTTCATTTCCAGTCAATTCAAATTTGAACTTTGACCTTGAACCATGACTGAACTTTCAGAAGACCACTTAATGTCACAATATTATGAATCTAAAAATGTACTGATTCAAATTAAATTTGACCTTAATTTACCACATAATCTAAATATGATCACCCTTTGTTCTCAATGAGTATGTAGGACTGAAGACAACAGCATGTTTCCTTTTCAGAAGTCTGATATTTCCTGTGGCCCTCTACACTTTTCTTCACCTTTTATTCAGGTTCTTAAATCTGACCTTAAGACATGAACCTTTTAACAGGTCATCAATTGTACAAATCAACTACAAGATGTTCTTAAATCCGACCTTAAGACATGAACCTTTTAACAGGTCATCAATTGTACAAATCAACTACAAGATGTTCTTAAATCCGACCTTAAGACATGAACCTTTTAACAGGTCATCAATTGTACAAATCAACTACAAGATGTTCTTAAATCCGACCTTAAGACATGAACCTTTTAACAGGTCATCAATTGTACAAATCAACTACAAGATGTTCTTAAATCCGACCTTAAGACATGAACCTTTTAACAGGTCATCAATTGTACAAATCAACTACAAGATGTTAAAACAAACCTGGTTGTATTTCAGCTTTGGCTTCTTTTGGTTTGCATTCATAGAGGCAAATGGCCCGACCCATTGTCGACCGAAGAAATGACGAAAGTTCAGGTCATAGAGGCCCACACTCAGCTGGTATTCCACTGTTTTGGTCTCATTCTGAAATCATCCCAAAAAAAGAGTTGAAAGGTCAAGATTAAAAAGTCAAAAACATGTACCAACTCGAACCTGCTTTCAGTGACCACCTTTGTGTGATGAAGTCTGTAATTACAGTGGCTGCTCGAATAAAACAGATCAACAAATCTAATCATCTCACTACAATTATGACAGTATACACTGGGCTGACTTACAACACTTATTCTATAGAACCAGGTGCTCTCAAGCAGGTTGTTACTAATAGGATATTAGATTTGCATTGAGTACCTGTGGCCCAGCTGTACATTGGGGAGGAAAGATTCCCTCAACTCCCTGTAGGTGTACACACATTGGATGGTACACTTTCTCTGTTTCCACGCTCCAGCGCACATGTTGCACATACGGCAACACTGTGTGTTGTCGCCGTGATGACACATGGCTTAATCTTTTTTTTGGACTTTGGTTTGGAGGGTTTTGAGTAACTTCCAGCTTGCTCTCCATATTAAAAAAGTCACAGTATTTTCTACACAAGTTAACATTTCTTGCTCGGCTTCATTGTAAATCATACCAGTTTGTTTTACACTTTAATCTTGTCTTTTTTATATTCCTCTAATTTTTCAAACCATCAGGAATTCACTTCACATTTAATCACATCAAATGACGAACAAATTGTTAATTTGTATATATTCAGCACTTGACTAGATCGAATGTACAAGACTCTACACATCTACTATCCAAGTCTTATTTGGTCACTTCACCATAAATAGCACCTTGTCACAATGTTTGTACTATTAACAGCAGGTTCAAAGCAAATGACGTATAACGGTCTGATGCGAGACACAAAGATCCAAGTTATCCTCCAGGGTTATTACCTGCCATCTATAATAAAATATTTATAAGAAAACAATTCTTCCTACGCAAATGAATTAACCTAAAAAATCAGAGTGAAATATTCATTTGAAGGATAATGATGTGTTATTGTAACTACGTAAAGTGCATCGTATGTGTACACCTTGTCAGCACTTTTAATCTCATTACAGTATATAACACATGCCATAATGTAAACACCAGCTTCCTGTATCAAAGTACACTTAAAACTCTGGTTCAATCATGTTGATAATACTACACACACAGTCATAACTACATCATCAAATCGCACTGATCAAAACATGTTGGTATCCTGATGCTGAAACAGTAATTACTACAACTGAATCGTCCAAGTAAATGTCATAGTGTGTCACAGTAATTCCAATGTCTGTCATTTTGAGAATGTAAATATCGCCATGGTAACACTGAATTCAAAATTTAAACATTATCCATCTTTATACTTTTCGTAATTGCCATATGTTGAACTAACCACACAGATTTGACACTTACATCCAGCACCGCATTAATTAATATTGCATTAGATATAGTTCATGAATACTTAGGACATACGTCATGTACTTTACACTGACTGCAAGCTAAATCCCCATACACAGTACTCAGAAACTGCCAATTACTTCCCACAGGTAACTCATCCATATCATGTGATCTACTATATATACCACTATATTAAAACCAAGTTTATCCAGTCTAGGAGCTATAATCTTCAATATCCCATTGTATGTTGCTGCTGCTGTGACCTAATTAAGGACCCTCCAGGACACTCAATCACAAATATGGCTGTCACTACCATAATGAGCTATTACTGTCTATATTGGAATTTACAGACGTATATACATTTAGTGTAAGAGATTAAATGAGACTCAATCTCATTCAGGTTGATTACTTGAATTTATTTTTGTCAATAAACATCACCCCAGATCACATGAATGATTGACATTTTAATGATGTTGGATGAAATGAATCAAAAAAATTCTTTCACTGCCACTTTTACTAAAAAACGAAAGCTCACCTCTTAAGGCCTAATATATTGATCACAGTAGCCACATGATATTATAAATCAAACAATGTATTAATCTGGGCTCAAACAAATTCTATATCCCTGTTAATGTTCTTTTGGATCAGAAGATCATGTCATTTCATATCATTTGTTGTTTGATTGAGGCAAAGGCTTGAAGTATAGGTTTATTTTAAGTGAAGTTAAACCACCTTCAATTTTGCCCGGATGGAGACACAGTGACATATTCTTGACAAAGGGCTATAACTCTGTATATTCAGTGTACATAGAGAGTTTATTGCAGTACTTAACACTCTGCTATCGACAAAAATCAATTGAAATACTTACGTCAAGGAAACACAGTTACTTCTTAATCTTTAAGCATTGGTCTTAAGCACTTATCAGAATATGCATATAACACTTCAACTGTAAATTCAAATCCATCACCTTAAGGACATTTAAATTCAAACGTAAAATATCTTGAAGTGTGTGTATACATATGTTTGCCAAAAAGGTGTATACATTACACAATCAGACTACAGTAACACATCTTGATGAAAAGTTAGACCAATAGATAAAGTGGAGAATTTTCAATCATCTTTATGGCCATATCAAGCCATAGAATTAGAGATAAATATATAAAGTAGCTTTTTCTATTACCACTGTTAAGAAAATCTAACCTTTTAAAAAGAATGTTTCACTGATGGTACCATCTTGAAAGCACTTAATATTCAGTAACAGCTGGATATTGATAAAAAAATACATTTAGAAATTCCAAAATAATTATGTATGTCTTCATACAAAATTTTAAACAAATCTAGATAATACTACCGAAATTATAATTTCAATATTCATTTAGCAACTTTTAACATAGCATATGATTCAGCATAAAATAAACCCTTGATATATTTGATGAAAGACAATCAAATGAATTATGTTTACCTGACTGCATGCACGTACATGCAATCTGTGTAATTTGTGCTGTGGCAATCATGACCACTTCAAATGTTTATGTATTGTAAATTATCATAGATGGAAATAACTAAAATACAGTTTGAAAAATTGTACCTGTTTAAAAGTCATAAATTCAGAAACATTACATGTTGAAAAAGAATTCTGCTGTATGAAATAATCAATAGACATTTATGGCTGTGCAATGGCAACTCTAAGTATCAAATTACCCCCTCCCCCTCCAAAAAAAGGGGATTTGAAAATAACAGGAATCTACAGAACATTATGTAATAACACTGAGGAAAACATGAAAGTATTTACTATCTGTTTTGTAAATTATAATATTAAAAGCCAGTAGAGATCTGCATGCAGACAAGATTACAATGCTAAAAAAAAACCCCAAAAAACAAGAGGTCCATATGGCCTGTATCACTCACCATTCACAAGGCTAATTAAGTCAGTCTAATTTACAGTGGTCAAACGGAAGTCAGATCCACTACTTATTCAAAATTGAGTTCCATTCATCCAAGAATGCTTTGCAGACCAAATTTGGGGAGGGGAATAATTCAGCCTTGTTACAGCAAAATTTTAAGTTCCTTTCAACCAGCTATATTTTTGACCAAAAACGGAGGATTTTAACAAATTTTCTGTAGTAACCAAATGGGCCCTTCCCCAAAGAACACAGATGCAGAGTTAATCACATCACCCGAACATTATGACCAAGTTCTGACAGAATCCCAGCATTGCCTAGCAGAATATAGATTCTAAATAATTTGCTCAATAAATTTCTCTTATTAGGCATTGCATCCCCCATCCCAAGGTGACCAAGGCCAACCATTTATACAAATTCATTCCCCTTCACTAAAGGATACTCAGGACCATATTGGAAGAGAATCCATAAATTGTACTGATGAAAATTCAGATTTTATAGAATTTGTTCTACCTGTACTTCCGTTATTGGGCCTTGCCCTTCCTCCCCTCCTCCCCTTGCCTCTCCTACCCTCCTGCCCTTGCCCCTGAGGATGGTAATAGAACCATTTTGATACTATTCACTCCTCTTCACCCAAGGATTATTCAGACCAAATCTAGAGAGAATCCTGGCATTCCTACAGAGGAATTGTAGGATTTTAAAGAACTATTATGCCTATTTTGCTCAGTCTTCTCGCACCTGAGGTCCCGGCCCTGAGACCAACAATTTATATAATACTGATTCCCTTTCATCTATGGATGATATCAAAACTGAACACGGACAAAATCTGTAATTTCTACAGAAGAGTAAGGATTGTAAACGATATCCTCTATTTTCCCTGCAGAAACCTTCACACAAGGTGAGCTAAAAAGACTTGTTTCAAAAATAGAGTTGTATGTTTTGCGGTCAACATATATTTGCAATCCCATCAATATTTTTAAGTCCTTATAGCCAAGTGGAATTATAAAAATACCAAAAAATTATTTCCTATAATTCAAAGTTATAAAAAAATGAACTAGCAAAACTTTATTTAAGAATTTTGATGAAAATGGAACAAAACACAAGACTTATAAATTATGCAGGATTGTTAGTTTTTGAAAGTTAAAGGGAACTTTAAATTTAATTTATACCTATAAATGTAAACCTTATCTAATTGATGTTGAAACATTAAGTTTTGGGGATTGACACGGCAAACATCTACTCCAACAAGCATTGAAACTACGAAACTCCCTCCCTACAAATGAACATGTACCAACTTGTACCAAGTATATATACTAACAACGCTTTACAAAAACTTCAAAAATGTTAAAAACTAAAAAAGATTACGAAATTTCTACATCAATCAGTTTTCTAAGCTTTAAAGCTAGATTTTACGGACAAATTTAAATGTCATTATATATAGTTAGTACATTTATTACAACATATTAAATGAAGTCATTTTTCAAGATTTTTAAATATCAGTGTTAAGTACATATTCTGGGTAAATAAAAATTCCTAACTTAAGCTATAATCATTTCAATATCTGACATTTAATGACCTAAGTCCAACGCTCACAACAGAACAGTGGAGACATCAATAGATCAAAATACATTGGAAGTATATATAATCACCAACTTAATTTAAACATCAAAGTCCTAATTATTATTTAATTATAGCTTTCCATGTTTTACATCCCTCCAGACCTATTCATATAATGATATTAGGAAGTGTAAATACCTATTCAAGCAGGTACATACTATATCAATTCTATGTATATTTGTATAAATACATATATATATATACTTTTATATATACTTAAAGGGAAGAAGTCTTCGAGGGACTAAGATACCAGGTATATCACTCTAATTTATTCTATATACGTGACCATGTGTTTGATTTAATCCAAATTAAAATACTAAACCAACATAAAAGTTTGGGTCTCGTCACTAAAATTAGAATTTACTTCCTACATAACGGTTTGTAGTATTTGATAAATATACTACAAAAATATTTAATTTTGAGGGCAGAAATCTTTGCAGATATATTAGATTTACAGATTAAGATCAAATTTCAGTACCTCGTAACCCATTTTACTTCGTTTAGAACTATGGCCTTTTATACTCGAACTTTTACTTAGATTTTTTCACCCATATTTCATTTCATCATTCCTTCATTGGTAATGATTTGATAGTTATAATAATTTTATAATCCTTCTTTCTG